ATTTGCAGCACCGGGGTTGAACAACAGGTATGTTATGAATGTTCCTACTGTGCCATCTGAAAAACTAGTCACATTTTTAATTTCTAGAACTCTTACTCCATAGGGGACAAACCTGAATAGTTTTCCAACTCTCTTCTTTTTTCCACAAAAGAATATGTGTCATCCCTAAATATATATGAATACCTGTTTAGAACTTGGACACAGTCAATTTTCCACCCAGATTTTCTTCTACTTTCTTCTACAACTATGGGCATCCGGTTACCCTACACAATCCAGGAGAGTCCTTCACATTGTATTCTTGGTTTGTTTCATTTCCTGGAGTTTGGAACTTAATGAACATGATACACCTACCTCTACACACCTGGTCCCAGAGAATGTTCTTTGCCAACAGCATCACCAAGTAAATTGAGGAATCTTCGCTCCTTCCACTCAAGAGTCTGGCCCTGGTCAGGTAACTGCTGCCTCCTGTCTTGTTTGCTGTTTGTGCCAGTGCCAGTTTCTAATGCAGAAAATTCCTGAAGGCCAGTGTGCCTCCTGCTCTAGTACTAACATTAGAAATGCCCTTCCCTCTGTTCCCCAATAGAATAGGCTCCAAGCCTGGTTTCAGCACAGGGGTGAGGATTAAGGATAGCCTACTGTTCTGGATGGTGATCCAGCATCTTGTCTATTAATACCACAGTGAAACCTAAAAGAAGAATTGGATCTACATGGGGTGTGCCCAGCTCTTTGGGAAGAATTCTCATTATCACTCCCTTTCTTCATTGATTTCCTATGAACAATGTGTGAAAGTAGCAAAATAGTTCTTCTAGTTATAACTGTCCTCTTGAATCCTTGCACTTGTAATTATTATTGTACTCTACTTTCCAAGATGTTTGCTCTATCAGTAATGAATGACTTTTGAACTAGACAACAGTGAATCTAACCTATGTCTAGGCATGAAACAATTCACCATTTGAAATCATTTGCCTATGCATTTGCCACATTCATTCCACAGAGGCTTTCATGACATGCATTTGGCCCATCTACTGCCCCATGGTACCTATAGTCCAGAAAGGAGAATAGACATAACTAGCTTACAACTCAAGCATGGAGGTGCTGCTTTTCCTGTTTTTGCCTCATTTATGTCATTCCCTTAGTGGCATAATGGAGCTATTGGTACAGATAGGATCTATCCCAGAAAGTGAAGGAAGACTCAGTGGAAGGATGGTCTTTTGTGAAGAAAAGTAGTACCTGCTCCACTCCTTCCTGGGCTCTGGGTTCCTCTGTTTAGCAGCTAGTTTCCCTTTTCAAAATCCCACCACCCTGTGGATGTCTGTTTCTAGGTCCCCAAAACATTTCTGTCAAAAAAACTCTTCCCAGTGATGATGGCTGTCTCTATAATGCTATTCCCAGAGGCCTCTTAAACCTTCTCCTCTTCTTCCAGGTGTAACTCATCTAGGGTAGCTTCCAAGGATGTCGGGGTATTTCACCACTCCCTGAGGTCTATAGATATCACTGCCCATACTGGGGTTTGGGGTCGAGGAGTACAGAAGCCGAAATTAGGACAAGACCAGACAGTGGCCTGAGAAATGTGGAGGCATCTCTAGGGAATGAAATCTGACCAGGCCTCTGCCCTCTTGTCCTCTGCCTTTCCCTTGTCCAAACCCTATCTGTTAAAATACATGTGCACGTGCACACACTCACACACACACACAAACACACACACACACACAGCCTCTTTTCCTATTTATTTACTTTTTGTTGTGCTACAGATCCCAGGGCTTATTCGGTAATCACTCTACTGCACAGCCACATCTCCAGCCTCTCCATTCCTTTTTATCTGATTTCAGATACATCAAGATGTTAAAGAACATGGAGTCCCGTGTGATTGCCCAGGAGTCAGCTCTGCTGCTATCTCCCCTTGTGTAGCCTTTGCATATCCTGCTCTTTCAGCCCCCAGCCTCCCCTCTCCCTTTCTTGCCCTAGCCAGGCCCTTCACCCGTGACATAAGACCACTCACTTTTCACTACCTTATACAGCGAAGGGTTTTGATATCCCTATTTTAGAGATGATTGTTCAAATCACAGTTATCAAAGGTGGACTAAGGACAAGCTTCTAGGTCTTCTGAACTATGGTGGCATTGGAGTATAGTAGCAAGATCATCGTGGTTTTCCTTCAGATTTGCATGAACCAGATTCTAACCCAGTTCTATGATTTAACAGCTTGATGAACATGGCAGGTACTTAACCGCTCTACCTCTGTATCTACATCTTTTCAGTATGGATCATACAAAGCCCTGAGACCTTGGGACAAATCAGTCATGAGTGACCTAGAAGTGGAAGCCTCTGTCCTTGACAGGGTCCCACTCTCTGTTATCCTTGCACATGTAGTCAGCCTGGCATCCATAGGTACATTACTTTTTGCACCCAGAAACATATGGTCACCCCATCTTTCCATGAGGGGCAGAAAGTGGAGCTCTTGCTGAGATTAAAGGATATATCCCACTGCAAGCAGAAATGGAACTGGGTGCTAGGCTATATATTTGTTCAAGATTACCTGCATATCATGAGAGGCAGGAGGAGCAACCTAAGAGACATGTGGTGTCCATGGAAGAGGCTCCAGGGCCTCCCACAGCACCCATGAGGTGACAGGGAGTGAGGCATCTCCTGCCTGACTAACCAATGCTAGTGTCCTAGGGAGGGATGAGCCATTGAGATGGGAGGGGGTCAGATCAGCCCTGAAGAGGGCAATTCACATAAAAGCACTGTGTAGAGAGGGAAATCATCAGACAAACTTGGAGAGTTCCCAAAATCAAGCTAGAAAAAGTTGACTATATCAAATGTCACTTAAATGCACAAATACAATTGCTAAAAAAGTCCTCAGACTTTGATCAGAACACTAGTTGTTCAAGGCAGCCTGTGTGACCCCCTGGCTCTGTACTCTCTCCCAAACTCCACTCTTCCTCCTACACCATGCATGCCTGAAGAGGCTGAAGAGCTTCCAAGGTGCACATGCTACAGTTCATAGCCATATGTGTGGCACAAGCTGATGGTATCATCTGAAGGTTTCTCAGTTTGCCTTTGATAGGGTGGACTATATCACTTATGGTTTCAAGGCTGACACCTGGATGGCCACCCATCATGGTTTCCTCATTGCCAAAGGGAACAGGGAAGCTGACTTGGTCATTGAAAAGTAAAGAAAGTTGGGGCTAGAGTAGAAGTGTATCTATTTCCTAAAGACTCCTAGAATATAGGAACAAGCATATGAGTCAGACATGTGCCCTTTCCCTCCAGCCCTCAGCTGGTTTACACCAGGTTTACACCAGGGAGCAAGATAGGTTTGGAACCATCAAAGTGAGATTGGGGCTGTGGTTAACCAACATCCTGTACAGCTGTCACTGAATTATGCCATCTCGTCCTGAAATGAACTTACTATATTAAAATGTCATTCAATAAACATCAGGAACCTCCTTATCCTGGCTTCTACAGACAGACTAAAAGATGCCTCATTGCTCATCCTGGGTACTTCTTGTGGGCAGAGGCTGCCTTCCTACAAGAAGGATTGAAAATTAGTTTAGGGAAGGGGGTGTTGGGGTAGGGGTAGAGCACTTCCCTAGCATGTGTGAGGACCTGAGTTCAATCTTCAGCACACACATAGAAAAAAAAAAGAAGAAAGAAAGAAAGAAAGAAAACCCAGAAGGAAAGCACCCATTAATACACAAGGGGACTATACTAATTAAGTAGGAACTGTGGGGGGTTATGGAACAGAGGAGGATGGGCAGGGTGGAATTTGAGCAAGAGCACATGTAACTTGAGATTTGCTTCCCTATCCAGCAACATCCACCTGTACCCCCATCCTTTCACTTGGAAAATATTGATAAACTGCATGAACCTCTAACACTTGTACAGAAACTGAATGAAGTCATGAGTATTTGGTAAGGTGTGAAAAACTGTTCATAGGTAAAGTGACTTTCTTTTTATTATGATCAATGCATGTAACAGGGAGCAGGGCTCTCTTGAGTGCTCTGCAAAAGGAAGGAGGGAAATTGGCAAGGGGCATCTCCTGCCCTCCTGTGTGTCTATGCACATGTGCATGCAAACATGTGCATATTCATATGAGCATATGTGCATGAGTGTGAGTGAGAGAATCGGGGGCCATGGGAGTCTGTCTTTTGTTTGTGTCTTCTAAATTGAGGATATGGTCAGGACAAGCTATTCATGACCAGAACTTGGTGGATTGGTGAGCAGGTTGAGCAGCACTACCAGAAAATGCCCTGGAAATGCAAATGAATCTCCATCATCTCACTTACAGACTGGATATTTCCAGATAAACACTTTCTTGGCTGTTCTCTTTGTACAGGCAAAAATATGGTGTACTTTTCAACCTCCGTCTCCCTTCATGATGTTGGAGGCAGTTGGCAGACAGCAGCCTTAACTTGAGTGTTGACCTCAGATTTCTAAATAACAGCTCCAAACATTTATTGAGCACCTGCTGTGTACCCTGCATTATGCCAGACTCTCACATTATATGTGTCATACTAGCTAATCATCCCTCCTTTCTTTCCTTTTTTAATGTTTTCTTTACCAAAGTCCTGGTAGGTTATAATTTATAGCTGTGAATAGTAAATTTCTAGAAATTCAAAGATCATATGTGTAGAGGAATTGTTTTTATCAGCAACTGAATAGTTCTTTGTGAATAACCAAACACCTTCATCCAGCCCTCGGAGCATCCACCTAAAACCTGAGAGAAAATTGGGGTGCTCCCATCTCACAGAGAAGGTTGGGGCTCCAGCTGGCTGGTGGGAGTGCTGATCGAGTGCTCAGGTGCTCTGCATTCACAGCCCTCATAGCAGAAACCTCCAGGTATGCAAGTAATTATTCCCTGCTAAAAGTTTGCCTCCAGAAACCAGGAAGATCACAGGGACAGGGAAAGAGACTTCTCATACTGGAAGGGGATCACAGGCCCAGCCAAGGCTAGAAAAGAGGTGAGTGAGAAGTCCTGCCCACCCACTTTTGTACCCCATGAATGCAGAGAAAGTGTGGGAGAAGACCCTCTTCAAGAAAATCCAGCACCCCTCACCCTGCACTCTCCTCCATGTGGGTAAACCAACCTGTGAGCAACCCACAGGGAGACCACACTGAAGTTCTGGGCTTATGGATTTCTACTAGGGACTTCTCTGTGATCTGGCTTTGCTACAAAGAGCCCTTGGTGAAGGATGTGAACATGTAGGAGACAGCACCTTGCAGAAATGGGATGTTGGAGGTGTCCTGGAGGAGCTGAGATACACCTGCCAAGTAGAATAACAAAACTGAATGAGACCTTCACAATGGCCTCAGGCAAGAAGCTTATAAGGACTGATAAGCTTTGTCACATATAGGGGTTCCTTGAGACGCAGAGTGTGGTTAGGGGAGCGCCTTCCTGGGCTAATTGGAAAAGTCTCCACAATACTGGGGCCCCCCTATTATTCCACAAGCTTAGCCATGTACCCAGCTGTGTGCCTGATTCTACCCCAGTGGGTACCTCTAGGGCTTCTGAGGCTAAGGAGTTGGTCCTGGGGATGGGAAAACTGGCTTGTTCCTCCTACCTGGAAGAAACCACCTCAGAATGACATTGTTCAACTACTGGTTGGCTTTAGAGCCCATGTCCTTCTCATCCTCCTCATCCTCTTGTTGACTGAGGAGTTTTGAAATATATAAGAAGACAGGTTTCACACAAGAGGGAAAAGAAGTGTCCTGTTGGCAGGGAATGACCTCCTAGAGAAGATGGTCTGTGACAACAGTCAGCAGGACCTTTCTGACCAGTGAGCTTTCTCCCAAGAGAAACTGGAAACAGCTCCTCCTCTCTCTCTTTTCCTCATCTCACCTTCTACCCCCCAATCCTCTCCCTAGCATTAAGGAGAGCGGGCATGGGCTTCACCACAGGAGTAGCTTATAAGGACTGATAAGCTTTGTCACATATAGAGGTTCCTTGAGACGCAGAGTCACCCTTTAGAGTCAAATGATGATTTTTCTGGACTGGAGACATTTGGGACTGCCTGCTCACAGGTTCTGAGTCCTCTTGTCCCGTCCATTTCCTCCATCCTCTCTGCTGGGTAGTGCTGAGAGCCATAGTGGAGTCCGAATGACGCATGGCATTTTTGCCAGAACGGAGTGGTTGAGAGGTGACGCCAGCAAGCCATTTAGATGATAATGGTTATGTTAAGCTGTGTATATTAGACTCCTGCTGTCCACCTCGGTCTGCTACTATGGAGTTCTCACTAATTTGGAGTTCTCGTGGGGATTCCCGGAGAGTTCCCATTGGTTGGGGAAGTGCCGGAGGCGGGATTTCTTGTTGGTGGTTCCTGGAGGAGCCACGTGGGTGGCGTTTGGGGAGTTCCCAGGGAGCGTGTATGGAGTGTGCTGGTGGAGTTCAGAAATAAAGTTTGTTCCTGCTTCAGTGGCTCGTGATTGGTGCCCAGCCAGACTGTGGCAGGGTAGGAGAAACATGCCCAGCTCCAGACACAAGTGTTTAGAGATCACACTATAGGCAGAGGCAGGGACAGTGGATGACTCCTCTTTGCCCACATGGTGAAGAAGGAACAGGTGTACTGACTTGCCCTTTAGTGTGGAGCCGGCCCTTCCTTAAAGGCCTGCCAGCTCTGAAAGTCTATCTATCCCACAGAGTTGCTAGGTCCCAGCTATTCCATTTGTTATACAGGAGACAGGTTTGTGCCATAAAACATATTTCTCAAGCATGATGTTGCCATGACCATGTTTTTGTTAGCTTTTGTTTTAGTGAGACTCTGTCTCAAAATTTAAAAATAAAAAGGTCTGGGGGCATGACTCAGTGGTACAGAACTTGCCTAGGATGCCCAATGTCCTGGGTTCAATTCCCAGTTTCAACCCTCTCCACACAAACACACACACACACACACACACACACGAACCTATATATATATATATATATATATATATATATATATATATATGATTCCCAAAATCCTATATTAGTCAGCTTCAGCTTTGGTCAAAGAAACTGTCTTCAAAGCACAATGAGATCCCCTCAATGAGAGTCTAGATTTCTGCTGTGTTCTCTCTGCATATACTACAGAAGTCTGTGGAAGTCCTGGCCAGCAGGAAGCTTTGCCCAGTGTTCAAGTAGAAGTAATTAATGTTGCTGGTACTAACATTACTGATTTCAGAATTGTTGACTTTTTTTTTTTTTGGTAATGGGGATTGAACCCAGGAGTACTCAAAAACTGAGCCACATCCCCAGGCTTTTATATTTTGAGAAGGGTCTTGCTAAGGCCTCATTAAGTTGCTGAGGCTGGCTTTGAACACACAGTCCTCCTACCTCAGCATCCCAAATCACTGGGATTACAGAGATATACCGCCTGGCCCAGCAGTTGACTGTCTTATTAACCAACTTGTTTTTACTGTTTTAGCTATGAGACAATTAATTCTATTTTGATGAGGAGCCTCCCCATCCTGCTAACAGCAGGCTAAAGGTTCTGCCCAAGTTCCTGGGGTCCTCAGCCGGGATAGGTAAGATGTCCACAACTTGGGATCTGAGAGTCTTAGAGGCACCTACAGGTGGATTCAGCTTTCAGTTTCCCACGGAAAACACTTGAAGGAGAACTACCCTAGATATTTGGATAGAAGCACAGTGGTGAAAGTACAGCCAGAATGAGGGAGAGTTGACCAAGTCCCTGAAACAGAAGCCCTAGAGAAGTGTCTCTTAGCTAAGACTGAAACCAGACAAAACACAGAGGGCCTAGTGGCAGCTTCAGAGGGAACATCTATCCATGGAGATGCAAGAGTGCACAAGCAAGATGCCTGGGTGGGTGCCCAGACCTCTCATAAAGTCCTTTATAAGAAGTGCTGGGTGCGACTGACCTCACAGATCTTTTTCTTCCTCTCTCACAAAGCCAATCTACCATTAATACGGCTTAAATGTGTTCTGGACTTGATCATCACAGTGGGTCTCCTTTCTGGTGAAGGCTCACCGAACACCTTGTGCATGATGGCCTCCCAGAAAGAGCAGAGCCTGGCCTTTTGGTCTTCTGGGCCCCACCCTCAAAGTGAGGAACCCTGTCCCCCCCTCATCCGGACCACTAAAGTTGTCCCCAACAATTTTCAAAAATCCACCCAGCTGAAAACTCTTTCCTGAATTTGGGGGCCCCTGGTCAAAATTCAGGAGGGTCTGTGAATCTAGATGAGGAAAATAAACTTTATTTTCACTAACCTGTAGCTGAAAGTGTTTCCTTCTGCTAAGCAGAATTAGCAGAACCAGTGTCTTGGGCCCCAAAGGAAACCACAAATGTTTTTGAGTCACATGACAATCACAGACACTAATCCCCCTCACTTTTTTTTGGGGAGGGGGCGGGGGTACCCAGGGATTGAACTCAGGGGCACTAGACCACTGAACCACACCCCCAGCCCTATTTTGTATTTATTTAGAGACAGGGTCTCACTGATTTGCTTAGCACCTTGATTTTGCTGAGGCTGGCTCTGAACTCCCAATCCTCCTGTCTTGGCCTCCCTGAGTGGCTGGGATTACAGGTAAGCGCCACCATGCTCAGCCGCCTCACTACTTTTTAAATGGCTGGATCTCATTTCAAAAGGTAGTGAAGCATGTAAGCTTTATTTCTCAAGTATCAATACTATTGGTTTCTTGTTTCACTTGGGATTCTATTCCCAAGGGCCAACGGAGAGAAAAGCAGAATGGAAGAACCTCGGGACTGTCCGCTGGGACAAGCCCGGCGGGCATTCTCCCCTATTCGACCATTGCTGGCCAGCTCCTGGCAGTCAACAAGCTGCGGGATTGGCTGCTGAAACGCAAGGGGGCGCTGCTGCGCTGAAACTCAAGCCCTGAGATGCCAGACTGTAGGGTTCCGCCCTCCGAGTGCTGAGCTTCAATGCTTCCGCTTATTTCGCCTGGGGCAGGTTCCGCATTGGGACGTCAGCTGTAGTTCGCCTACTAGGCCTGGTGCCCCAAGGTCTTAGGACGCATTCCGCCAGGACCCCCCTTCCAGCGGAGTGCGCGAAGCTGGAGGCCAAAGGCCAGCGAAGTCCCAGGAACGCACAAGTCGGGGTGGCGCCGTCGCTGCTGCTGCTGCTGCTGTCTGAGCTGGTGCCAGAGCGCACAGCAGGTGAGAGATCAAGATCGAGACAGTTGAGGGAGAGGAGGGGGGCTCAGGGGGACCCCATGTTTTCCACCCGGGTTTGGGGTAATGATGACTTGGAGAGCCCATCCGCAATCCGAGAGGAGGCAAGCAGCCCAGGGCTGGACCCGACTCCTGTTTGACGCCTCCCACTCTGGCTTCGCTAGCCCAGAACAGCCCTGCGGGTGGGGCCGCGGGAGGCCGAGGAGGAGCGTAGAATAGGTGCTGACGGTGACCCCACAGAAGTGTGACCTAGCCCGGGGCATAACTTCCGTAGGCCCCTCCCAGACAACGCAGCAAGGGCTTCCACGGGGCCGGGTGCTCCTGGAAGACCCTGGGGAAGCTTTGTTGGGAGGTAGCGAGCTTGGATGTGAGGGCAGCCAGCACTTTCCCTGCCACCCGCCTGAAGCAAGGGGCGGTCCAGAGTGGAGGGGCTTCCAGGGCCCCTGTCCGGAAATAGCCCTCCTTTGCTTTCCCTGGCGGGGCTGGAGAATGAGAAAGAACATCAGGGGTTTTTCTGACCTGGTCTAGAATTTCCATTCTTTCCTAGTTTCAGTTTTGTGCGCAGAGCTGGCCGACCCAGCGCGCAGGCATGACCACTTCCTGAGTTCCCTACCGCACCACAAGGCATACCCACCTCAACTGCACAGATACCACAGGCCTAAGAGAAGTCCTAGCTGGTGTCCTTTATGCCAGGATCTGTCCTAAGTACTTTACCTACAGGAAGCCATTTCTCTCTTAGAACATACAGTCATCCCTCGATATTTTGAGGAGAAAGTGTCAGGACGCCCAATACCAAAATCCATGGATGCTCAGGTCCCTTAAATAAAATAAGATAGTATTTGCGTATAATCTGATTTATACTTTAAATTATCTCCTGATTACCAATAACACCTAACATAATGATATCATGTTACGCAGTTATGCTTTATTGTTTAGAAATTGAAAATTTATGTATATACATATTTAGTATAGATGCGATTTTTTTTCCCCAAATAGTTTCCATCTGTGGTTCGTTGGTCAAATCCCAGGAAGCAGAACCCTCGGATTAGGAGGGCCAACTTGTCTCAGTTTGCAGATGACTAAAGAGAGGTCCAGTGCAGACGCTAGGTGGCAGCACTAGTTTATGGAGTCGGAGTTTCTACCCGTTTCTGAAAGGTGGAACTTTTCTCTGGGAACGTTTTTGCGTTTTCGCGTTCAATATGTAACGTGAAATACACAGGATTTCGAAGGAACCCAATTACGTTGCAATAAAGCTATTTAGTATTTTAGTTAATAAGATAATTTTTAATTAAAAAGGTAAAAGTGCGATAAGTAATGCATATTCCTCTAAGTAAACACATTAAATAATGCATTAAATTAGCAATTTCCACCATTTGGAAGCAGTGAGAGGGTGAAGCATATTTCTAGATGTATACAGTAACTGTTATTGATTCAAAAGCACTCTGGTTTCTACCCAAGACAATGCACAGGTTCTACTCATCCTACTGTGCTTTGTCTCCATTCATCATGAGAGGAAACACTAAATTTTGACTAGAGGTTAGTGAAAACAAAAGGTTATCTTTTCCCATCCAAGCTGAGGCTCCTAAACTTAAGATTTCAAGTTAACAAAGCCCCAGAGATCCAGGATTCCTCTCTCTATGGTCCCTACCTGGGATGCACACTCAGGTGATGCCAGTCTGATTGGTGGACTAAGCTGTCCCAAATCAAGAAGGAGAAAAAGAGCAAAGATCTAAAACCAGCCTGTGTCCAAGTGTGGAAGGGAGATGGGAAGGAAGTGGCCGAGGTTCCCATTAGGGACTCAGATGCCAGATCAGAAAGACCAGGCTTTTTTTCTTCAGGAGGTAGGGAGTGAGGAAGTGACATGGGGGACATCCACAGAGTGGACAGTCTCATTAAGGGAGCAGATATCATGAGTACAGCATCGGGGAAGTTGTGAGCCTCACCCTGTGACAAGTATTTGGCTATTATTCCCATGGTGAGATGGAGACACTGAGGCTCAGAGGTTAACTGGCTACCGAAGGCTGAACAATCACATAACTAATTAGGATATGGACTCTAGCAGACTGACTCTGGTCCCTAGCTTCACTCTTCTTTAATTAGGAAATATCAGAGTTACTTCATTGGATTGCACTGCAAATGCCATGAATCAATAAGGTAGTTCCCCTTTATATGTGGTTTTGCTTTCCATGGCTTTAGTTATCTATGGTCAACTACAGTTCAAAAGTATCACATGGAAGATTACAGAAATACACCATAAGTTTTTAATTGTTAAATATTCTGAGTGAGAGTGAAATCTTAGTTTTTTTCTGCCCAGGACAGTAATCATCTCTTTGTCCAATGTATCTATGATATATATGCCACCCACCCATTACAGTTATCAGATTGACTGTCATGGTGTTACCAAAAGCTCTGTCCTTGTTCTCAATGTCAATCCAATCATGAAGACAAGGTTTTGAAAAAAAAGAAGTTATAGTTCTTTCCTAGCAAAGGAGAAAAACAGGGACTCCTGTCCCAGAGGCTATTAATCTGACCATCAAAGAGGGGAATAGAGGGCTTTTAAATAGGCAGTTCAAAAGCTACATTCCAGATGTGCCTTATCAGGGGTGGTAATTCACTTGATGCCATCCCTTAAATCTAATTATTTCATTCCTGTGGTTTGTGTTTGCTCAAGGACAGATAACTTAGCCTAGGAAGGGAAGAAGGGTAATTTTGTTTTCCCTAAGGCTAGGGAGTGGGAGAGGGAGAAGAGAAAGTTTTCAAATAAGTGGCAGTGGCAGAGTAGCAAGGGTTATGTTCAAAGTATGAAGTAGACTCCTGCTACAATGGCATCAGTACAATATTTAATTGTCCTATTTACTTTTAGTTATTGTTAGTCTCTTACTGTGCCTAATTTATAAATTCAAGCTTATAGGTAGATATATATGAGGAAACATATAGTATATATAGGGTTCAGTACTATCTACAGTTTCATGCATCCACTGGGGGCCTTGGAATGTATCCCTCAAAGATAAGGTGGGGATGGGGACTACTGTGCTTATAAAACACAAGAACAATGTCTTGCACAGAAGCCCAGAACTCAGGCCTGTTAGCTTTGCAACTACATGAGATGAAGTTTCCAGTCTTTGCTGTGGCAAGGCCCCAATTTCCCGCCTTCCTTGGGACATATCTCTTGCTATCATCTCATACCATCTCTCCCAAAAATTAAGAATATTAATGTAGGATATTTAGGCTTTGACATTTCCCCCACTCCCTCCTTGCAGAGAGTCCATGGGGGCTGCCAGTGATAGCGGATGGCCCAGCTTCCTTAGCAAAGGTGGTGATGGCAGAACTGTCCAGCTTGAAGTTTGAAGAAAAAACATGGCCTGGAGGTAAGCACCCCCTGCCTGCCCACTGAAGAAAGGGTAGGATTACAGAAGCCAGGATCCTCCAGATTGCAGAAAAGTACATTGGTGGGGGAGGCTGCATTTGTGAGGGAGGTTCTTTCGGATAGGGGACACAGAGACTAAAGCTTCTGAAAGGTACCATGGGCTGGATCCTAGCCTCCAGTGGGTTGGCTCCTTGCTCAAGCAGCTTTCCTCCCTCCAGCACTCCACTTCCCATACCTGCCTCTCCCTAAGAAGACTAGGATTAGTGATGTCTGCAGAGCCCCTCCTCCATACCCTTATTCATTTCTTATAATCATTATCTCGGTGTTTATAGAGCTGTAGAGCAGATTGTTTAATTCCTCCCACTTAAGGATGAAAAAACAAGGCCTAAACCTTTAAATACTTGAGGCTACACAGCTAGAGAGTGGCAGTGCCAAATGAATCATGGGGAAGTGGGATAGATGTAAAGTCTCCAGAGAGCAGTGGAGAAGGGGTTGGACACCTCCATTCCCAACACATTGAGGGAAAAGGGAGACTGTGATTAATGGGCATGGAACTTCCACTTGTTAGAGAGTTTGCCACAAGGGCCAGTGACCAGGAAGGGGCACTGGAGAACTGTTGACCCAGAAGAAACTGAGGCATCAATGGGCAGATGAACTAAACAGACATTTCTCAAAAGAAAAATTATAGATGACTAACAAATACATATAAAAACAAGGTCAACATCCCTAGCAATCAGAGAAATGCAAATCAAAACTACACTGAGATTTTATCTCACCTTGGTCAAAATGGCAATTTATCAAGAATAGAAATAATAATAAATGCTGGAGAGGATGTGGAGAGAAAAAGAACTCTTATGTTACCGCTGTTGACCGGTGATGAGTCCTTGCTTCCCCAGTGTTGAAGAATAACACCAGAGAAGCACAACGAGGCAAGGTCAGAGTAGAAATTAGAAGTTTATTAAAGGACAGCAGAAAAGACTTCTCCAGGAGGAAGAAGGGGACCCAAGAGGTGGAATCTGTGGAAGTGCAGTTGTTTCCCCTTTTTATAGTTCTTTCAGTGATGGAATGTAGGTTGGAAGGCCCGAGGGGTGGGACATAGGTGGGCCTAAGAAGTAATCTGGTCGGGAAGTACTTCATTAACACTTCTTTGGGATGCGCTATCTTCAAATCTGCTGGGGCTGTTCATTAACATTTCTTTGGGATGGACTTTGGGCCTAGGGCTTTTCTTGGGACTTCATTAACATTTTAAGAGTTGCTCAACTCTTCCGGAAATTTATTCTCAACATGGCCTCCATTTTAGACTTCACTGGATATTAGACCTGATTTACCTAACTACACTGACTGCCTAATTTTAAATCTGGCTTCACTTACATGATATTGATGGGATTATACATTAGTACAGCCATTATGGAAATAAGTATGGAGTTTCTTCAAAAGACTAGAATTTGGAGCCACTATATGACCTTGCTGTATCATCACCCTGTATTTTATCCAGAAGAAATAAAGACAGCATAATATACCAATAAATACATTCCTATGTTTATAGCAACATAGTTGACAATAGCCAAACTATGGAACCAGCCTAGGTGTCCATCAACAAATGAAGTAAATATACACAATGGAGTTCTACTCAGCAATAAAAAAGAACAAAATTGTGTCATTTTTAGGAAAATAGATGGAACTAGAGAGCATCACCCTGTTAAATGAAATAAGCCAGACTCAGGAAGTCAGGTGTTATTTTTTCTCATAAATGGAAGCTAGAGAGAAAAAAGAAGTCTCATGAAAATAGAAGAGAGCTCAATAGGATAAAGGAAGAGGATCAACAGGAGGGGAGTACAAGAGAAGGTCCTAGGGAATGAAATTGAAATTGAACCAATGATATGCACATATGTGTTGGGAAAAGTATAAACGGCAGCCATACCCCAGAGAAAAAAACCCAACATGGCGCCTAAGGACCTGTTCTTCCTACCTTCTTCTTTTCTGCAGTGGCGTGAAAAATTCCCGCCCGTGTGAACTCTCCCGCCGGCGCCAATTTCAAATCCTGCTGGTGGGGAACCTTAGCTCCAATGAGAACTAATTCCTGGGCTCCGGAGCTGATATCTGGAAGAACTTGCCAATAAACGGGTTGCCTGCCATTTATCTAAGCCCTACCATCTCCCCCTTAGTTCTATATAAGCACACAGCTTTTTGCAATAAAATTGGAATTCTCCTGGCGAAGTGTCTTTGCGTGGGGAATTCTTTCAATATGAATATATAACAATGAATTCTCTATTATGCATAGTTATTATGTGTCAATAATTTTTTTAGATTACATTGCAAGACTTCTCTTATTTACTTATTTTTATTTTTTTTTGTGGAGATCCCAGAGCCTTGCACTTGTTAGGCAAGTGCTCAGCCACTGAATTACAATAGGGTTATATCCCAGTAAAACCATTGTAAATTGAGAATACATTGTCAAAAATGCATTTAATGCCTTAAACTACTGAACATCATAGCTTGGCAACTCAAGGCATTGTAGTGTCAGTGATTTCCCCTTCTGATCACATGACTGAACACAAATCTCTAGCCGAGGAAAATATCAAATTTCAAAACTCCATATGTGATTTCTACTGAAATCACATCCCTTTCACACCATTTTAAAGCCATTAAGTAGGTTGGGGACTGACTAGATTTGTGTACCTGCTACAATGGAACTACCATGTGTTGTTTCCTTTTTCACCAGGCCTGACCTTGGAATTATTTGCTCTTTCCTGCCTTTCCCACACCTGGGGGGAAGCACATTAGCTTCCTTATCTCCTCTTTGCTTCAGGGGTGGGAGCATCATGGTTGCGGGCTCCCCTACTCTGTATTTCTTAGGCTCTGTCTCTATGTTGGCTTGGAGGTCCTGGACTCACCACAGCTTCCAGAGCAGGTACTCTCCCAGACCATGTGTCCTCTCTCCCTGACTTCAGGGCAGCATCAAAGCTCTTGAGTTTGAACTGACCCTGAAATCCACTAGATACTGTTGCTTTAATATAATATTATGTGTATTCATTTCCTATTGCTGCCAAACCAATGATCACAACTTGGTGGCTTAGAACAACATACATTTATTCTCTTATATTTCAGGGGTTCAGAAGTCCAAAATGGGTTTCCCCCCTGGCAAGATCAAGGTGTTAGCAGAGCTGCACACCCTCTGGAGGCTGTAAGGGAGAATCCAATTCCTTGACTTCCATCTTCTAAAGTTTCATTCCTTGTTCTGTTATTGGAATTAAAGGTCCTTGCTGCTTACAGCTCCACTGAAAACTTGGGGAGACAGAAATTACAGGAAGAGAATAGGTTTATTCAAGGGCAACTCTGAAGAAGATAGAGATATTTTTATCTCAAATCTTCATCTCCAGGTGGAAGAAAAGAGGGTATTTTGAGTCAGTGGGCAGGAAATTCACAATGCTAGGTGGGAGTCTTCCTCTTCAAAGTGTACCTTTGTACCTCTGTTACTGCTGTTGACCGGTGACGAGTTCTTGCTTCCCCAATGTTGAAGAATAACACCAAAGAAGCACGCCAAGGCAAGGTCAGAGTAGAAATTAGAAGTTTATTAAAGGACAGCAGAAAAGACTTCTCCCAGAGGAAGAAGGGGACCCAAGAGGTGGACTCCTTGGAAGGGATGTTGTCTCCCCTTTTTATAGTTCTTTCAGTGATGGAATGTAGGTGGGAAGGCCCGAGGGGTGGGACACAGGTGGGCCAAAGAAGTAATCTGGTCAGGAAGGACTTCTGAGTCAGCACCTTTTTGCTGGGGGCTGTTCATTAACATTTCTTTGAGGTGGACTTTGGCCTAGGGCCTTTTCGGGACTTCATTAACATTCCATGAGTTCTCCTGCGTTTCCCGGAATCATTGCCAGCATGGCCTCCATTTTAGATTTCACTCAGTATTAGACCTGGATTTATCTAACTACACTGACTACCTAACTTTAAATCTGGCTTCACCTCTCTGGCTCTGTTGACTTTCTCCCTCCTCAGAACATCAAGAGGAAATTCAACCTCCTGGGGCCACATTCTGCATTCTATTTTCTTACAGAGTTCTTCCTTTAAGTCAATTCCTGAGTTAAGGAACTGAGGAGAGAAGAGGGCGTTACCAGAAGCCTCTCTTCAGAATTCAGAATACCATGTGAAAGAGATGGGTCATTAAAAGATCTAGGGATCTTTTAGGGATGTGTGTGGGGAGGGGTAACAATTGTTAAACATCTTACAGAGGGAGTTGCTCTGTTTCAGTCTCAGCATTTCTCTCCTTTAGTGCCAGCAATCTCCTATCACAAAAGCCTTAAATTAATCACACCTGTAAAATACCTGTTACCATATAAGGTAATAATCACAGCCTCCAGGGATAACATGGAGGGGAGTCTTTATTCAACCTACCACACTATAGAACAGGAAACACAGAATGCATGGACATCTCACTGCTTGAGAGGTCCAGCAGCAAAGCAAGGACATTTGCTCTTCCGCCTACCCAGGGGAGGCAGAGCTGCTGTAGATAGGAAACAAGGAATGGGAGATCAAACTTACAGTATGATGACTACAGTTAGTAATACTGTATTGCAAACTTGAAATTTGCTAAGAGAGTAGATCTTAAAGTAAAAACTAAAGGTAACTATGAGAAATATGAGTATGTTAATTAGCTTGATTATGATAATCAGTTCCATGATGTGTGTGTGTACATACACACACACACACACACACAACACACACACACACATGTATATATACATATATATATCAAAACATCACACTGTAATACTTATACAGTTTTTTTTTTTTTCAATAAATCTTGGGGGGGGGCAGTGGACAAAGCAAAAATAAAAACAATTTAACATGTGTGCATATGATTAGGTCATCAAGGAAGAAAAAATAAAACAGAGGCTGTGAGTAACTCAGTGATAGAGCACTTGCCTAGCATGTGTGAAACCTGGGTTTAATCCCCAGCACTGCAAAAAAAAAAAAAAAAAGTGAAGAAATGGGTCATGGAGA